AATAAGATTTCAAGTTTTTTGTTTTAGCAAGGACACATTAAATTGATCTAATAAATTCTGTTCTTTTAAAGTATCTAATAATTAAAGAATCCTGAAAACAATGGTCATGGTTTCCACAAAGATATTGAGCAGAACATAGTATTGTAGTAGTATTGACTGCTGAAAATTCAGCTTTACCCTCACAGGAATAAATGTGTAGAGTGTATTAAAATATAGAAATCACGTTTCAAACTGTAATAATTTTTTTTTACAATATTACTGTTTTTATTGTATTTTTTATAAAATAAATGCAGCCTAGGTGAGCATAAGATTTTGGTTTTAATCTAACCAAACACATAAATACACACACAGAGGATATATAAATAAATATAATATATTTAAAAATATCTTATATCATTATTTTTATTATTTACATTATCATCTGAAATTCATATACATACATATCCAACAGAGACATTCCTTACCTGATCACAACCAGCGTTGACGAGATCCTGCAGCATCTGTCTATTGACTTCACCAGGATGTCCTGAGCTGGATCCTGGGCCTGATTCATTGGCAAAAGGCAATAGAGACTTGCGGATCTCTCGCAGGGCATTTTGGTAGTTGTTGAACTTCTGAGGCTGCCGGAGCTGTTGTTGCCTTCCAGCTTGGTCTTTGCCCTTAGAGTCCCCACCTCTGCCCCCCTCCCCTCGAGCGCTCCCTCCATGAAGCGCCTGGCTCACCAGCTTTGCAGGTTGTTTCAGTCCCTCCTTGATCTCCTGCAGGCGCTGGCGCGTGTTGCCCACATATGGGGCGGCAGGGAAAGTCTTAGGCCTCATGAGTGAACGTGCCCTGTACTCTCACACACAAATTCTTCACACTTGGAAACGACAGAAAGATTCAGTCAGTTACTCACTCACATGAAAACACAACGGCAGTACAATCGTACAGTAAGACACAAAACTGTACACACCCAGGCTCAGTCTGACCTGAATAGATAACAGGCTGCAGTGGGAAAGATGCAAGGGAAGATTAGGATTCCTGTTGTTGCTCGTCTTCGTTGCTGCTGCCTCTCTGGCTCTGGCTCGTGCCGGATGCTGGCCTACTCACATCCCAGCACCCCTTTCAGGGCTCACACTCCCCCTCCTCCCAAGACATGTGAGGGGTTACGTCTGCACACTTGTTCCATCCCAGTCTGGTATGCATCTTTGCCTGTGGAGACAGTGTTAGACAGAAGGGTCAGGCTGCGGTCCAGGCACGTCAAGACCCTGCATCAATACTCTGTCAAATGCCTGACAGTCTGAGTCTGATCGGACATTAGCACCTCTGTCATCAGGTTTATCACTAAACACATGCACATCAGCTTCATATGTGCGGTTACTCCCTTGAAGCAGAATATGCAATCAGAGGAATAGTAGCATATTCTTAATGCAGCAGCTTACATGGCCATAAGGCAAACCCTTATTGTAGATGCAAAATCAAACTTCTACACAACACAAACAGTACCAAAACATATACAACATACATTGTCTTTTGATGAAGTTTCTGTATCGTATGATAACATATACTACTGTTGAAAAGTTTGGGGTCATATTCTTTTAAAAATAAAAAATTTCAGCAAGGATGCATTAAATTGACAGTAAAGCATAACAAATGTGGCAGTAAAGACATTTATACAAAGATTTCTATTTCAGATGCATGCTGTTCTTTTAAACTATCAAAGAATCCTGAGAAAAAAAATATTTATTTTCATGGTTTATACAAATATTAAGTAGTACAACTGTTTTTAACATTGATAATATGAAGAAATGTTTCCTGATCAGCATATTAGGGTGATTTTTGAAGGATCATGTAACACTGAAGACTGGAGTAATGACACTGAAGTGTAATGAGTAATGAAAATTCAGCTTTGCATCACAGGAATAAATTAAATTTTTAGATATTTTAAAATATATAAAACTGATATTTGAACCTTGCTTGAATATTGCTGTTTTATTGTATTTTGGTGAGCAGAAGAGAATTCTTTCAAGAAAAAAAATTAATTCAAAATAATAATAATAATAATAATAATAATAATATCTTACTGACCCCAAAATGTTGAAAATGGGAATGTAGAGTGTTCTGTTCTGGAGAAACAGACTAAAAAACTACTGACCATGGTTCATGACTGTGATTTGAAATAAAAGCAAGCCCTTCGATATACCCCACTCAAACTTCCTGTTTCTATAGGAAATACCCCAAATTCAAAACAGTACAATGCCTCTCATCATGATATTCCTGAGGTCTTCAACTACCAAATGTTTCACAGCATTAATTTTTATTTCTTGTCTTCTGGTAAAAGAGGGATCCAAACACAAAGAAGAAAGGACTTTCAGAACAAACATATTTCTGGAATGCTGGTGCTCAATACTGGAAATGCATTGCTCAGTCTAGAACAAATATAGTGTAATTACATTACTGTCAAGGCTTCCAACACAATATTTTTCAATGCCTTCCATTCCTCAAGTAACAACAGCAATACACTGTACCTCCGCATTCAAACACTAATCCAAGTACACTTCAGAGAAAATCCATGAGAAAAGTAAAAGTTTAAAAGATTCTTATTCAATACACAAGTTATTAATGATGCTACATCTGTTGTATTGTACAGCTGACCACATATTACTGACTACAAATACGCTGCTGCAATAAGCCACATGCAACCAGCATAAACATTCATAGACACAGCTCTCCTGCAACATTCCTAAAAATATATATGCCATTTTAGAAAGGTTTTCTTTCATTTCAAGACACTAAAAGGTGTGATATCAAACTTCAGCTACCATTATATCCAACAGCACAATATGAAATGGATGAGTGATTGATTTTTTTACCTTTATTTTTAACTAGAGAATGATATTTGTCAAATCACTACAATCTCATACTTTTGCTTAATTATTACTCATAGGCAAAGCTAGTGGTGGGGTCACAGGGGCCCCAGATAAAATCTGATTGTCTTTTTCAGTTCCCCTGTTCTGAAAAAAAAAAAAAGATTACTTATGGGAACTGGAAGCCATTTAATTTGTATAGCTTGATCCACAAATCTTGGAAGTTTACTATGTTATGAAAATTTTGTTCTTGCACAGTATCCACATTTTCATGTAATATACATGCAATTGATACATACATATATAAGCAATAAATAAACAAATTCTGAGAACATATCATTTAAAATCCACAGTAACCATCAATACAAAAATACTTTTATTGTATGCTTTCCTGTTCTCGAGTGTTGTCATTGTCACCAAGAAGAAAGTATGAAGTCTTGAATCGACATTTGAACAGAATCATACTGACATGATATTAATTTGGCCCATCTGTGGCCGTCTTTTAAAAAAAGACCACTGTTGTTTGTTGCTTAATTTCATAATTTTATCAACACAAACTAAATATTTTGACAACTCAAAGCAGACAAATACAAGTGTAAGTATGAGGACAGACCCCACCACATGTCATCGCACATCTTACGAGAAAAAAATAAGAATAATTTTGTGGATGAATTTAATTATTCGGTTTCGAAATGTGTAATGTAATCGGTCCGTTATATTATAGTACATAATTTTGGTATAACTAAAACATTTGATTTTGGGTAAACATGTGACTGCGCGCGACTAATAAACAAAAACCAAGTAGCCTATGGTTTGTTAAAACACAACATTACCTGCAGCTCATGGAAGAGTCTATTCTATCAGTACCGCAGCCGACACGACATTTCATGCGATGTTAAAATAACTAATGTAGTCAGATCAGATGTTAATACTAGTCAACGCTAAATATTTGTTACAGTGAGTTTCGGTAAAGATTTCGTTTTATCATGTCTTCACTATCTGCTGTAAAAACGGGATATAGTCATAGGAATCATCCAAAAAGTTGTTACGTAACGTTACACGAGCTCACATTATTCTCATCAGATTAACAAACAGTAAATCTTCCAAATGCTTTAATACACACAAAGTATCTTTAAGGCGGAATAAAGTTGCAGGGGCCTAGAGGCTCCAGCGCTTTGAGGGACTGGAGCGAGAGGAACGCAGATCCGCTGGAGCAAGTCCGCATTCCAGCGCAGGGAGAATGTGCTGTTCTCGCACTGCTATCTCGCTTTAAATGAGAAAAACAACTTCCTTCCGACACTTTCAACGGTTTTGCGAGCGTAAATCGAATATAGAAATCCCTAAAAACTACCAATGCCCAGCGTTTTAAAAAAATAAAGTTTTGAGCGACTCACCATGTGATTCAAGTGGTACCTTAATCCAAGGAATTTATTTAAATTTAAGTAAAATTGTAGATTATCCGTTTGGTGTTTTGTTGCCCAAGGATCGTCCTTCGATGTCCTCTTACAAAAAGCACACAGTGCAAATCCTGGGATTGTCCTCCATTTTCTCGCCACTCACGGCAGAGTTAGAATGCAGTACAAAGTTGGACACTTACTGCATTGTTAACATTCCACAGGAGTCACGTGAGGCAGCCGTGCACGTCAGCACTGCACGCAGTGGGCGGGGCTTCCTACACTGACAACGCCGAGATTCTGATCTGATGCAAGCTAGCAGATGTAATCACTGGAAAAGGAGAATATTGACGGATTGATGTACTAGCTTCGTGTTGTTCGCTTAGACATTACAACTCATTATGATAATGATTATTAATGAATTAATTATAAAATATTTAAATAAACTTGTTTTCAGATTCTTCACTGGGCTCCTTGTTAATCAGGTTGTTGCATTGTGTCCTTTAATCAATCAGTCATTTTAGTCTCAAGTCCTAAAGGAAATCACACAAACAAAAAGGCAGACAAAACACTCCGCTTACAAGATTTGACACGTTCTGATGAATGACCGTGAAACAGGAATTTCGTAATCCACAAATACATTTCATCAACATCAGAATTTTCTGCTAAAATGTATATGAATATATGAGAACACATACATTTGATGTGCTATTATTGGAAAACTTTTTATACCTTTTGTATACCCTTTTGTTTATTTTAAATGCTGGTGTGACAATGTTTAAGAGTATAAATAAATATCCCAAGGATTCAATTAATATGAAATAATTAAATAATATATTAAGTACCTAACAAAGTATGGATGCATCATAACGATGAAATAAGCAAAATGCTGTTTAGAATAGTTTTAGATGGAGTACAGCATATATGAACTTCTTGTTTTTCATGGAATAAAGAAGACATTCATAAGAATAAAGAAGCTGAAAAGTAACAAAATACAATTTCCAATTACAAGTACTCAATTTTATGGAGACATATTCATACATGTTATACAACAGGGAGCAACATTAGATAACAGTTGTGGTAGTGAACTTTTCACATAGGACGCATGAGTAAAATGGAAAATTCAACGTAAGCATCATCACCTTCACAAACAATAACAGATAAATGGACCACACAGTTAAGTGATAGTGAGGGATACAGTACTGAAATGTGCGATGGTCAAAATCCAAAGTGAATATATCGTGCTAATGTTACTAAATGTTGATTTAACACAACTATGATCACATAGCAATGCAAATAACTGTAATTCTGTGAGACTTACACATTACACGGTAGAGTGACAAAGCAACATCAGAAGTAAAGAACAAAGTACTGCTGGATTAATGTAAAAATATAGTGTATATCTATATTGAAGCAAAAAAATGGTATAAGCATCACAGGGACAAAGGCACTGGTACTGGAATTTAAGGGCAGCTAATGTCAACATACAACTGTCTCAAACCTAGATGCCTTCTTTAGTGCCATGAATATTTTAAATTCTCAGCATACACGCTCCACTCTCGACAATACTAAATTAAAGTTAAACTATGGATGGAATGTCTTTATCAAACCAAAGCATCAACAAAGTCAGCCTAAAGACTAAGCAAGTTCCTTAAAGACTAGAGAGAAGACTGTCCAGTGAACTGTGCCTGAGGAATATGTTTGGTATAAACTAGTCCTTAGGTTGCATAAATGTTCTTAGAAAGGTTCAGATCCCAATTTTAACAACAGAAGCAAATGAAAGTCTTCTGGTTAAATTGGGAAACATTAAAGGTGCATTCAGCCAATGTACAAGTAAAAGTCGCAAAAGTGTGGCAAATAAGAGCACTCATTCCAGGGGTGCAGTAGAAATACACAGGTTATTCAAGGCACAAGCAACCTGCACTATCTTATCAAAAGTGCTCACATTGGAAGTGCGGTCTACGACTGTAAAGGGACTCTCCACTGGTCCGGTCAACATAGAATATATTCTCTTGACCATGTCTATTACCTTCCCAACATGCCTATGAACATTCGCTTTATCTGAAAGTGTGCCAACCAGCGAGACATTTTCTCCATCCTGTCCACTCTGGCAATTTTCATTGTAATTTCTACTGGTGATTTTGAGTTCGGCTTTGCGAGCCCCCACCAAGCCCTCAATGTCAAAGTCATGCTCAGCCAACACAATATCACCAGGCAGAAGCTTACAAAGGAGGCCTGAACTCTCAACAAGATTTTTGTTGCTAACGTGACCCGGTGATCCCCTCGAGACAAACGTGACCACACCCTGAGGAGCAACACCTATCACATATTTAAGCTCATTCACCATGGACTGAGCTGGCACTGTCAATGCTGTAGATGCAACCTCTTGATTCACATTCACATTGAGAGGTTTTTCCAGAGACACCCTAAAGCAGTCAATGATCACTGCACAGTCTGGGTACGTGCACCGCAAAGCTGCAGGTAGGTTTTTTCTGAGCTCCACTCTGGATGGCCAAAAAACAGCAGTGGGCACCAGGGTGGTGAACATTATATTAATAATCCGATGGACAGTCCTGGTCACGGTGGCAACCTTGACCCCGAAACAATAGGCCAAGTCTTGGTTTCTAAGATCAAGCCTGAGTCGCATTAGCGTTCAGAGCAGTTGCTGGAATTTTGAAAGCTTTGGATTTTTGTCTCCTTTCATATGTGATATGAGAAGCAACATGACAGTCTCAAACACAAAGTAATTTGGCAATCCCATATAGAAGCGAACCTTTTCTGGATAATTTCTGAATGACACCTCAGTGAGAGACATCTTTCCTATTGATTCCCTCAGCTCCATGTTCTCCTTCTTAAGAGCCTCAAGACTGGACTCATAGTCAGGGGGAATGTTTTTGACTGGGCTTCCCATTTGGTTTACACCTGAGATTTCTTCTTCTTCTACATCATCTTCAGTCTTATCATCCTCTTCATCACAACTGCTTAGTGAAGAGGAAGCACTTTCTGTCTGTTCTTGATTTCTAGTCTGGCCATGGTCCACCAAGAAATGCCCTTGTCCTTGCAGGAAGAGCAAAGCATTGGCTGCCTCCACTTGTGCCTCTTGTTTATCATACATTTCACAGGCACTTGCTTCCTTCATATTTAGCGACAGTGGCGCTGAAGTGAAAATGGAAGGAACATAGTCTGGGGATCTAGGATTTTTCACTTGTTTTCCTGTAAACAGAACAAGAATACATTAAGTTCTATATTATAATGCAAAAAGTAACAACAAAACGCACCTCTGAAAAGTAGTCACACTTGTGATTTACTCTGTAAAAAATGCACGAAAATGCAGAGCAATCAGACACGATCAAGTAGTCTCTGATGAGGTCTAGTGTTGTCAAAAGTGCCGATGTCGGTACTGAAATTTAAAAAATGTGACGATACCAGCATTTCCCGCTGACATTTTGAGTGCTGTTGTGTGGATTCTCAAACACCTCTGATTGGCCATTGTGTTCTTGCACTCAACAGATATGTCGATTGGCTACGCCCTCGTGTGTATCTCTTTAAGTGCTCGGTGAAGAGCGCGAAGCGATGATCTTTGGCCCTGTCCCAAATGGCACATTTCATGTGCACTTGCGGTCTTGCGGACTTACAATGGCCGCCGCATGTGCGTGTCCGTTAAGTCCACAAGACCGTATGGGTGTCCCATTCATCATTTTAGCTTTCAGAAGGGTGCTCGCGAGTGCTCCGCAGCAGACTTCAACCCGACAGTCAAAGCGGCATTACGTCATGAAAATGCGGACTGAGAGGAAAACCTCGAGGGTTTACGCCCTGTCCCAAATGGAACACTTCATGTGCACTTTCGGTCTTGTGGACTTACAATGGCCGCCACGTGCGCGTGTCCGTTAAGTCCACGAGACCGTATTGTGTCTCATTCGTCATTTTAGCGTTCAAAAGGGTGCTCGCGAGCGCCCCCTTTGCGGCCGTCATGCGCCCTCGATCCGCACTTCTGCTGAGCCCGCACTGGGGCGAGCGAATGTGTCACACGTTTTAAACTCAACAAACTGGTAAAATACATATATCAAGAGCATGCTCACAGATGAAAACAGTGAACAAAACAGCGTTGGATGAACTGGATTAGAGCCCTGTACGGGCCTCAAATATAGGCCCTAGCCAGTCTTTTTTTTTCCCTTTTCCCAAAAAAGCTTATACTACTGTTTCAGCTATTAAAATAGTTCAGTTTTGTATGTAATGGAAAAGTGATTATATTTC